GTCTAATAGTACTTGCTAGAAATAATAAATACATTTAAAAGGAATGGTTACAAGCAATCTTAAAGTACACTGTAAAAAAAGTTAAATCTTAAATCATAAAGCAACCAGCTTCAGGACATTTTTGAGTTTGCTCAACTTATATCAAGGGAAGTGCTGTACTTGGGTTGAAAACTGAGTCAACTCAACAAAGCTCTGCAGCAAGTTGCCTTACAGTTACGAGTTGAGTCAAATTTGTTTTACAGTGTACAATGAAAATCTAAATTCACAATGTTTATTTTTCTAGCTCATGTTGTATGAAAGAGTGTGCATAGGCATTTCCCACTGTTAACATGTTGTTAAATCTTAGTTTCTTGCATTTAATAGTATATTTACTTTTGAAAAAAGGTAATTTAACACAGACAAACATTATTAAATGACTAATGTTTATTAGAACAGTTTTAGTTACCCGTACAACATTCATGAAAAAATAAATCATTAAAAAAACTAAATTACTTTCATATTTAAAGCAAGACACTTTATATCAGCGCTCAAGAGCTTGTTTGTGGGAAATTCAGATTGATTGGAGTTCATCATAGACTTCAATTAAGACTTCATCATAGACTTCCCTTTAGATTAAAGTTTGTTTACATAACACCACTGTTGTTTGTTTAAATGAAAACAGTTCAATGTGTTATTTACTTAAGGCAATTCATATATATATGGAGTGGAGGAACGATGACGTCAATTTGTATGCGAAAACCCAGAAGCGAGTTAGCATTTTAGCAGTTCTGGTTTCCTCGTCCCAAACACAATGGGCTTTGTCAATAGGATTTCAATTAAATCGCTTAAATAAGGTTCATGGTAAACACAAACTTAAGATACTGTCACGTTTTATTCAACAAGATAAAACCCATCAGTTACAGCACACACTTGATTTAATAAATCGGTTATGCTTCTTTCAAAAGACGGTTGCTATCAGGTTGCTAAATGGGACTACAGGTGGTGTCGGAGAGATTATGGAGGAATTACCAACCTACGTCACACATGATGTTCCACGGGTTTAACCGTGGATGGCGGTTGCAAAACGAGACTGGTTGCAATAGCAAACATGTTGCGTTGTGTGGTAGGATGCCAAATTCGAAAGTCCAAAAATAGAAATTATCTGCACTGCTTTAATGCCAACTGCAGACATTTCTGGCTACCAGCCATCATAAGAGCTGAATGAAGGAAGGACCTAAATAAAAATGCTGAACTGTGCAGTTTAAATTTCATAACAGGTAAGTTCACGCTTTGCTGAATCATACTCATTACTCGTTTTTGATCACAGCAATGATTTTGCAGAAAAAAATGGGAGCTCTAGCATTTACAGAGGGAATGACATCCGATGCGGTACAGAGTTTGTTGTTGTATTAAAGAGATAAGGTCTATCGATTACATATTATTTACATAATGCTTTCAGCATATTATAACAGCTTGTCACCCAGTGATCAGCACAGTGATTCTACAAAACTAACGTTCAAGTGAGCGGCCTTCAACAGGTCCATTTGCGATAGCACCCTCCCAATGGATATTGGATAAGATGAAATAACCAAGCATCCAGCTTAAAATATACAACTATCTCACTGAAGCTCCAAGTGATTTTACAAGAGAGAAGTTAAAGGCCTACAAGTCTTTGGATGTAAACAATGTTGTTTTGTGTGGTCATGTGCAAGAAATAATGCTCCATGATTACCAGATTCAACAATATGTAGAGCTAAAAACCGAGATTCTGCCTAGCCAAAGACAAAGAAAAGAATACGGAGCAATACAAGGCCTGGGTAATGATCAACAAGCAAAACAACTGCATTCTGACAGCGAACTGCACCTGTATGACAGGGTATGTGAACTTACATTTTTACATTTCATAAGCATTCAGTGTCCGCAGTTTAATTCACCATATTTAACAGTTTTTGCTGAAATCCTTGCTGCAATCAACAACGAGTAATGTGTATGATTCAGCATAGCATGAACTGACCTGATATGACATGAGTACTGCAGAGTCCAGCATTTTTAATTAGGTCCTCACTCCATTCAGCTCTTCTGATGGCTGTTATGCTGTGTTCACACCAGACGCGGAATGCGCAAATAAATCGTCCAAACAGCGTTGATTCATTTGGAGTCATGTCTGAGTCCAAAGGATCCTTTCAGAGGTGCACCCAGCTCTGTGAGTTCATAAACACCTTCAGAAACTTAATCTGGATAATGGAAGCTTTCAGTGGTGCATCCGACTGAGCCGAGCCCAGTTTGATCAACTGTTGTCCAGTGTCAGCGTTACAACAGGCGTTACGTCATGTCACTACAAGAGAAAGCTCCTGATTGGATAACGCAGTGCGAAAGTTCAGATTTTCGAACTTGATCGATTTGCGCGAAATGCACGTTAAGCCAGTCAATTGGGCAAAACGCTCAACTTGCACTGCTTAATTTGCACGAATCATGCCACTCGCACAGTCTCATTTGCGCGTATTGCGCTGCAGGATGTCTATTCACGTCTTTCCATTGACTTAACATGCTTCTTCCGCGTCTGGTGTGAAATCAGCATAAGCCAAAGACGTCTGCAGTTGGCATTTAAAGCAGTGTGGTGTACAGTATATTTTGAATTTAGCTTGCTACCGCACAACATGACATGCTTGATATTGCAACCGGTCTCTTTTTGCATCCGATATACGCGGTTAAACCCAAGTGACGCAAGTTGGCAATTCCCCCATAGACTTGTCCCTCACGCCTCATTTCTGTCGTCGGTTAAGGTAAGCGGGCTGTATGCAAACGAGTGATACACTTATTTAAATATGTCTGATGAAAATACTATGTAGGCACATTTATACATACAGTTTTAAAACTTTTACAACAACCGTAAAGCAAAGCAAATGTATTTCCCACGTAAAAAGGCACATAGGTCTATACAGATGTGCTTTTAATATATAGTTTATAAAATATAGTGTTTATAATATATAGTTATTATAATATAATAAAGAGAGAGATTAACTATTTGTCATGGACCATATTTCTAAAACTAATTTAGTTAAGTTGTCTGTAGCAGGGTGGTGCTGACGTCACAGGCGAGCACCCTGAAGGCACTGTAGTCCGTTTATAGCCTAATGTTAGCTTTTCAGTTTTTGCCTTTGCATTTAGGATCCAAAAGTGCTCAAAGTTGTATTTTCGTGTGAGGATCATAGACTGTAAAATATTTGGACTTAGTATCCGTGACGTCACCCATAGCTTTCTAAAAAGCACAAAAGAAGCCACAAGTAGGCGTGGCCAACCGTCGCCATTTTGTTTGCGCGTCATCACACCCACGGCAGGAAACCAAACAAGGGCAAAGAGGCGGAGAGTGAGCGGAGCTACAGACACCTGCTGGCATTTAGCTTGGACCTGGTTCAGACACACTTTACTTTGGGAGAATGCTTAATACTTTATCACCTGTGACTCGTTTGTATTCTGACCACATGTGCTTGGCTGTACACTATATCAATAAAGTGTTTAGAGCCACTAAACATTGTTCTTATGACGTTTTTCAACAGGAGGAAAACGCGAATTACTTCCAAACACTTTAGATATAGTCTGTGTTAGTTAATGCAGGACTATTGATGAAATCCAGCATGACACTGTATGACAACGCTTCAGATGACTGTTCTAGAGCCCACAGCTAATCAGTCTGACAGATTCTGGAGTGCATTACAGCTCTAAATATAAATATAAACGATAAATGATCTTAAATACAACAAATACATGTATAGAGATGGTATATGAGTATATAACTTTACTCACATGGGAAACGGAGGCCACGTAAATGGTTTGTGAGCACAATTAAGTGCACTCAGCATGCCATGCCATCTAATAATTGTAGGAAACAAGTCCAAAAGGCAGTTGACTGTGTAAAGCCACATAAAACAACACAGAAATACGATAAATATGCCGAGATCAGTGGCTAATCTGCAGGATTCAGCTGAGGTGACGGCGACCAACGAGACCTAGCTGTCACTCAAGTGGCCACGCCCTTAATTATGCAAACTTAATATAACTTAATATAAAGGAAACTGATGAGTTATTTAAAAATTCACCCCCCTCACAGTTGTCATGAAGGGTAATATTAGCTGTATTAACCAAAATCTTTTTTGTACCAGGCTGTAAACACCTTTTTTTCTGCTGTAAAGTTGGCCATTCTAACAGTGGGCTCAATTGAAATTTGCTCTGTTTTGGAGCCAGGAGCGGCCCGGACTAGCTGAATTTCAGATGAATTGCAGTTTCAGTTACTTCCATATTGGCTTTCTGAGGGAGATCGGGAGGTTGCCACTTGGTAAGGATTATCCGGCTGGACAAAACATGTTAGCGTAATGAACAGTGTTTGAACACAGAGCTTATTATTTGCAATCTTCGTAAAGCCTATGGGAAAACCCTACAGGGATTTTATCAAGGGAACCAGTTTTATGCTAGCAGCAGATTAACCAACAAAGTGACGTCATAGTTCCTCCAGAAGTGCTGTTTTCATATTTAATTTCTGTTATCATGAGACTAACGAGAGACATAAAATATTATTATGAGTTATTCAATTCTGTAATAATAATGCAATAATGCATTAATACACACATTTGCACGCACACACACACACACACACACACAAACACACACAAACACAAAACTTTACATTTTAAAAATGCATTAATAATAAATGTTGAAGTATGATTAATAAACAATGTGAAGTGTTGTTCATTCATAGTTTATGTTAGTAAATCCAACCCTCATTGTAAAGCGAGTGAGATTTCAAATCAATAATGTTATCAAATGGCAAGCATGTATGAGCCTACAAATAAAGTATTACCTGTTTACTTTTTTCTACATTGAAACTGTGATTCAGCAGCAGGACGAACAATCAAACAGACTAAAACACAATCACTGTGATGTTTTCTAGAGATCTAGATATATGATAATCAGCATGTGGTGTCGTGTGTGTGTCGGGGGCGTGCACACCTCAGACACTGGCTCAGGCTCTCATTGGTCAGGAATAATCTCCTTCTGGTCGCGTGCGTGTGTGCAATGGTCACAGATGAGAGGTGTGTGTTTCGACTCTGCGTCCTTTGCCGGCGATGGGACGGTCTCTCTCCTCCCACAGCGTCACTCCATCGCAGGCACAGATCTGCTTGGGGTTCTGAAAGAGCCCGGCGGAGCGAGCGATGATCCCACATGCTAGTCTGTGAAACGCACACACACGCGCATTAATGATGCCACACACCAGTCTGAGGCCCCGTTTACACTAATGTGTTTTAGTTTGAAAACGTATAAGTTTTGCTACGGTTGCGCTATCTGTCCACTAGAGATGGGAAGATTAACCGATATGTATCGATACGCGGTCATGCGCGTGCACGATGCGAGTGCATCGGTTGAGCAGCAGAGGATGAATGAAATTTTGGAAGCAAATCGAGATGCATCGGTTTTTGCGAGATGCATCGGTTTTTCCGAGATACAGCTTATATTTTTAATATAGAATGTATGTTTTATTTATTAACAAGTGTTGTCAACCTGTTTTTGGCGCATAATTTAATAGACCTACATAAAGTATGCCTTAGCAACGGATTTGCGGATGTGTACACTTACACTACAACTCAGTGTATCAGGTGTGCGGATGAAGCTAGTGGTGCGCCCTCAGAAAGCGCGAGAAGCAAAACAAACATTTTATTCCCCACTGAGTTTTAAATCTAAAGTGTGGCAACATAATGGATTTAAGGATGGACGACATGACAGGACAGATGCAATTTGCAAAATGTGCCGCGCATCTGTAAAATACGCGGGCAGTACGAGTAATCTGAAATCTCACTTGAAGCGGCGCCACGGTGTTGTTCTGAAAGCATCTTCCAGTGTTCCTGCATCCCCGGCTTTCGCACTGCTTCAACTGTAGCTACCAGCTCCAAAAGTGGTGAGAAAAGCATTGCAAGTTTTTTTTTCCGTGCGCAACAGTTCTGCTCGCTCTACGCCAATAACGAATGCCATTGCATTGTTCATCTGCAAAGATATTCAGCCTAGTGTCACGGAGAAAGTAGGTTCTAAACACCTCCTCCTGTTAATTTTTATTTAATTATAATAATAATAATAATATTAATAATAATAATGATAAAAATAATGGGTGTCACGGTGGCACAGTGGGTAGTTTGACCACCTCACAGCAAGAAGATTGCTGGTTTGTTATATTTTTATTAGCCTGTTGTTTACAGTGACAGTGATGTTTCAAAGCAGCATAACACTGCTAGTTCACCACCTTAAGTTTTCAATATTCAGTGGCAAAATATATCTTTGTAAAACTTGTTTTCATAGTTGAAAAGTTAAATCACAATTCTTGTTGTGCAATGCTAAACCTTTGTGTTGAAAGAGTGCAAATATATATATTTTAATATATATTGCACTTATACATTCTGTTTATCTTGAAAATACTTAAATAATATGTGCTATTTGTTCTAAAATGGCCCTCTACTGTAAACTGACACTCTGGCTCTGAGAGAAGAGCCAGTTTGTAAAAAGTCTTGGTTTTGCTTGGTTAATAAATAATCAAACTCATTCAATGGCACAGCATCCTCTTTTACATAATCTCATAAACTTGATCTAATTAGTTAGTGCTGAATTATCGCATTGTATCGTGATATGGGTGTGAATCGTATCGTGTTGCATCGCAATATGTCACAAATGTATTACTAATATATCGGATCGTATTCTTTGTATCGAGATGCGTATGGGATCGGCATTATAGCTTAGATGCCCAACCCTACTGTCCACACTATGCCAGAGTTTTCGAGCGCCGAAAACAGAGCGCTTTGGAAACGCTGGAGAGGCCGTTTAAGGAAAAGGAAAAACATCTGAAAACGGAGGCGGGGCTGCTGAAATTCGCTACCTGATTGGGGCTTTTGTGTCATTGCGTATCCTTCCCTTATTCGTCAAGCCCCTGTCACATGACTATAACACATGGCTTTAACGCTACCGGAAGACAGCAGACCAGCCTTCACTGTAAACAACAACATGGACACACAAATGGGAGCGTTGTTTGCACTATTGTTTGTTTAGGTGCCATTGTGCAGTTATTCATTTGTTACGCTTAGTAACAACTCGACCTCGTCGTCTGTTCACAAATATACCTCTCTTGCTTTCTTTGCCATCGCGTTTAATGTTCAACTGGCGTTTGTTGACTAACAATAACCAAATGCCGAGCGAGAGACATGCTTCCTGTTTAAACTAGAACTTGCATGCCCAGAGTGCGCGAATGGTCACGTGACATACGTTTTTGGTGGCTAGTGTGGACGGAGATACTGTATGTTCAGAAACGCTAGATGAAACGCTAGTGTGGACGCGGATCGTTTTTGATCTAAAACGCCATTTTAAAACTAAAATGCACAAGTGTAAACGGGGCCTGAAACACACACACACACACACACTCACAGACACGCACACATAAACATACAGAAACACTTTGATTGACATTCTCCCTTTGTACATGCCATCAGATGGGGAAAACCCCGCCCACTAGTGACTATCTCTCCCTCATTAGCATAAACAGCCCTAAGTAAGAAGCAGCCGTCTGCCATTAGAGTTTTAAATCTTTCCCTATGCTGACACACGGTTGTTTGAAGCTCAGCTCTCTAGTGAAAAGAGCTCAATATCATATAAATTTAAAACGACAGGATCAAAGCCTAAAAGGGTCAGTTTTAAAAAGTTATACAACATTATTTGTGTGGTATTTTGAGCTGAAACTTCACACACACACATTCTAGGACAGGGATGTCGAACTCAATTCCTGGAGGGCCGCAGCTCTGCACAGTTTAGTTCCAACCTTAATTAAACACACCTGATATAGCTAATTGAGTCCTTCAGGCTTGTTTGAAACCTACAGGTTAGCGTGGAGCAGGGTTGGAACTAAACTGGGCAGAGCTGCAGCCCTCCAGGAACTGAGTTTGACATCCCTGCTCTAGGAGGAATGCTTTTTCTTCATTCTCCAAAGTAGACTACACAACATAAAGATATAAAATAACATAAATATTAACATCATTTTTGGTTTTATTTTAAGGTTCAGTTCTCGCTATTAGTAAACCATTAACTCTGGCTTTTAACCAACCCCTAATAAGCGGCTTGTTCTTAGTTATTAAGATTTAGGTATGGGCAGGGCCAGACGGAATCTGCGTTTTTTTTTTTGCTATTTCTGCGGAGAATTTTGGTAAAAATCTGCGGATTTCAGCGGAATTATTTTGGGAGTATCAAAACTAAAACCTTAATATATGAAATAAAAAGTAATAAATTACTGAATAAAACCTGAATAGATTTAGATTTACACAATTACTCAAGTAAATAAACAGAATTATTGATGGGCTAGAAATCTGCGGAATTCTGCGCACGCAGAGTCCATGTGGGCCTAGGTATGGGGTAAGATTAGGAATATAGAATAAGATACTGGAGAATATGTGCTTTATAACATCTAACAAACAGCTAATATTTTATTAGGAGCCACTAAAGTTAATAGTGAGATTTAGTTCTAATCTAAACTTCTCTTTAAAGGGTCACGAAACACTTGACTGACCTTTCTCCGGAGTTTCCAGTGGTTTTGGACAGCGGGTGATTCCCTCGACCCAGATCATCCTCTCCTGAATCCACCACCAGAGAGCGGCCGATCACATCCCATACCTGACAAACAGGACAAATGAATGATAAACCACCATAAAAACACATCAGATTAGAGGAAAGAGCTGTACATTTCTGACTCTTCTAAATCATTAAAATACCAATGTATGTTTGCAGATACTGGGCCCTATCATACACCCGGTGCAATAAGGCGCAAGACGTGTTTGGCGCGATTTGTTGCTATTTTCAGACCAGTGCAACCCTAATTTTCACATTTTGCACCACGTTGTTTAAATAGCAAATCCATTTCTGCTACTTTGTGAACTCATGGGTGTGCTGGTCTATTAAGGAGGTGTGTTAAGGCGCATTGTTGGCAAGTGGCTATTTGAGGAACAGAAATAGACTGCGCCATTGACCAACTAAAAGCTGCTCTAAAGTCAAGTGCAGAGCTTGTTAGTTATGCAGCTATGCAGGTCCAAACACTTACTCATTGCCTAATACACACAGGATGTACAGCAATACACACATATCTTTACATATAAAATAAATAAAGGATTAAATATGTTACAAAAATTATTATTTTCTACATAAATATAAAAACCACTGGCCTCCATGCCTCACCTCGGGGGGCTTTTTAAGTTTATTCATGACAACTTGCTTTTGTATAATGTTATTATTATCAGCTGTATATTTTATTATATGCATATTTATATTTGTTTTAATAAAAACCAGTTTTGATTTGTCTTCCTGTCGGGTTATGTATGTATGTTACTTGTTGTCTTTTTGGTGTCTATGTACAGCAGAACCTTTTTTCTAAAACATATTTCTCCTACGGGAGACAATAAATTTTACCTTGACCTTAAAAAAAAACACATTAAACACGTTTATCCACACAAAAATGCCAACTGGGACTCAAACCAGCAACCTTCTTGCTGTAAGGCGACAGTGCTATCCACTGAGCCACCGTGTCGCCTTTGCACAGTACTGTATATATAACATATATTAGGATAAACTGCACTGGAGGTGTTGCAAACATTGTTTCCAAGTGCACAAACTTAACTTCAACTAAGAGTCTTTGGGTGTAGCCATGTAAGAGTTGTGAGTCAAAGGTGTAATTACCATAATAACAGAGGCTTTGGATTATTACGCAGAACTGTCGGCCGCAGGGTTTAGAAACACACGCTGACGGACTGGATTTACCTTGATCTGAGAGTCCTCCAGTCTGAATGAAGCTCTGCCGTCTGGACCAGCGCTGATGTTTCCCAGATCCCCAACATGCTGGAGAGCCCAGAGAAACACATCTACTACTGTTCATCAGTCAATCAATCCACATTAACAGAAATACCAATCAATCAATCAATCAATTGTAATGGCAATACCAATCAATAAATTGATCAATAGGAATGCAAATGCAGTTAATAAACCATACAAATGTAATGCAAATACCAATCAATCAATCAACCAAACAATCAATAGTAATGCCATTACCAAGCAGTTAATTAATGGTAATGCAAATATAAATTAATCAACAGCAATGCAAATACTAATCAATCAATCAATAGTAATGCAAAATTATAATTATTATTAGCATCATTAATGCAACTGTACATCAATAAAAATAGTAATGCAAATACCAATCAATCAATCAATCAATCAAATCAATCAGCAGTAATGAAATTTCAATCAATGCAACAAATCAATAAACAGTAATAATTACTATTAATGCAAATCATTCAAATAAATAGTTTTTTTTTTGCAAATATCAATCAATGGAAAGTGGATAAAAACAGTAATATATAAAGCATATAGCAGAGCAATATAAAGGAGAAAAGGCTAGAAAGTAGCTAAAAAAACAAAAAATAGTACATAAATAAAATAGTATGAATATAAGCATGACTAGTAAATAATATTTTTATATACACTCTCTGGCCACTTTATTAGGTACACCTGTCCAACTGCTCGTTAACATGGCAGCAACTCAATGCATTTAGGCATGTAGACATGGTCAAGACGACCATGCTGCAGTTCAAATCAAGCTTCAGAATGGAGAAGAAAGGGGATTAAAGTGACTTTGATCATGGCATGGTTGTTGTTCTGAGGGCCTTGTTGATTCTAATGGTCAGAGGAGAATGGCCAGACTGGCTCCAGCTGACAGAAAGGCAACAATAACTCAAATAAGCACTTGTTACAATTGAGGTCTGCAAAAGAGCATCTCTGAACACGTCTGACGTTGAGGAGGATGGGCTTCAGCAGCAGAAGACCACAACGGGTGCCACTCCTGTCAGCTAAGAACAGGAAACTGAGGCTACAATTCACACAGGCTCACCAAAACTAGACAATAGATTGAAGAAACGTTGCCTGCTCTGATGAGTCTCCATTTCTGCTGCCACATTCGGACGGTAGAGTCAGATTTTTGGCAGACTTTGGGTCCATTAGTACTAATTGAGCATCGTGTCAACGCCACAGCCTACCTGAATATTGTTGCTGACCATGTTCATCCTTTAATGACCACAGTGTACTCATCTTCTGATGGCTACTTCAAGTAGGATAACATGTCATGTCATAAAGCGTGAATCATCTCAGACTGGTTTCTTGAACATGACAATAAGTTCACTGTACTCAAATGGCCTCCACAGTCACCAGATCTCAATCTAATAGAGCACAGTTGGCATGTGGTGGAACGGGAGATTCGCATCATGTATGTGCAGCCGGCAAATCTGCAGCAACTGTGTGATGCTATCATGTCAATCTGAGGAATATTTCCAGTAGCTTGTTAAATCTATGCCACGAAGGATTAAGGCAGTTCTGAAGGCATCCAACCAATGACTGTAAAAAATATGGACGACGCGACAGCCCCTTTTCCCACTGAACGCCTTGAGGGCAAAACGCCTGCTTGACGGGCACAAACTGTCGCAAAAGACTGCTGAAATTGGAGCCTTGACATGCGCAGAAGGACTGTCTGATGGAGCCAGAGGAGGAGCCGCGAAAATGAGCGGAGTCGAGCTTCCAACCAAACGCTTTATGTAAAATCTACCACGCCCCCCGAACTTCTCAGCATGCGTTTGCTGTCATATCAACACAACTGGATGTAATAACGTTAACAAATATGAGGGTTTTATATATTCAATCGCGCCAGCTCAGGACCGCAGCGCATAACCTACTCGCGGCGTCGCGGGCTGATTCCGGCTCGCATGCGGCAACGCCGGCTCGCTCGGCCGCCGCATCTGGCTCGATTGACTCGGGCTGGAATCGGGCAGTGAGTCCAGGCATCCGGAGTAGGTCCAGCAGAGGTAGTCAGTCTGAGCTCTGAGGGGTAAGTCTCCGGCAGGCGAGAATCTAGCTGGAACTGGCCCGAGTGTGTTTTGCCATCTTGGTGGCTAGGCGTACGTGTATCGGCAAACTAATAAAGCCCGAAAAAAGCCCTGACCTTAGCAAATAAACAGTGTTCCTCCAGGATCATGTATGTCAGAAACTGTAGTTTACTGCTGAACTCATTTTGTCATGGTAAAATAACACAGAAATCGAATAATAACACTTCAGTCTCTTGCCGAAGCTCAGACGCGCTGCTTTGAGAAACTGTCAATCACAGCTGTCAATCACGATGACACGCCCAGCATTAAATTACTGCTAAAAACAAACTGTTTACAAAAATGAAGATCTGCACCTATTTCAGCTCAATAACCAGTGCCTTAATCCACCAGAACCATCTTTCAGGACATTTTATTGCAAGTGTAATTATTTTTTTTATTTGGGCTCAAGTCTCCTTCATTAACACGGAGGAGGCGGGCTTTATGACTTGTACTGCAGCCAGCCCCCAGGGGGCGATCTAACGGCCGAGACCTTCACTCAAACGCAGGCTTGCGGCACACTTGCATCCAACCAGGTACTAGTAAGGTGTACCTAATAAAGTGGCCGGTGAGTGTATATTACTATAATAAATGAGCTGCTTTAAATACGTGTTTATTTGCAAAATCAGGGAATTCTGTTTTCATTCATTTACCGATGAAAAGTATAATTACTAATAAATATGATTTATAGAAGTAAGGGTTTTTAGTTGTTTTTTGTTGTATTACATTAAGCATTAAAGAGCACACTTACAAAAAACATATATATTTCTGAGAAATGCTGAAAACGGAGTTATACGTTTGCAAATAAACTTAATTAATAGGTATGTGTCTGGAATAAACTGTTAAAGTCGTATATTATATTGATTTTATACAGTACTGATATAGTGTCTTCAAAATGTTAAATAAGAGCATTACTAAAAACAAAGGAAAGCTAAATAAGTATACCCTGTCAGAGTCCTGTGGAGCTCCATGCTGCTTCCTGAATGGATTGAAATGATCTCCACAACTGATAAACAGAACACAAACCTGATTACTTAGCAAAACACATGCAAGACAAACAAGTTTAGCCTTAGCAGGTGTAATAAAGAGAAGTCTAGTCTGCATTTTTGGCGAGCACACAAGAACTGCAGATCAAATTGGATGTGATGATCTCTAATGGCTAGTATTACCCACAATGCATTGCACTTCGATTAGAACTACAAACATCGATTAGAACTACAAACATGGTGGATACATGTGACCGGCCCTGAAGTGAAGACTTTGTTAAAAATGTTGGAATGACTTGACTAATATCTAATCTTCTGGAATCTTCACATATTTCATGTTATATTTCTTTCACTTTCCTTCAACCACAATAACGTTGAGCTGCATGTTCGTGTTCATGATCTGCTGTATTGTTGATGGTACCTCCTGCAGTCCTGTGTGAGATCCCCCAGTTCATGCACATGCAGACCGTGAGCCCCAGGGCTCAGTCCGTCGATCGTCCCGTCAATCAAACAGCGGTCATGTGACAGCTGCAGGAATCTGACCACGCCCTGGACAAGCCCCGCCCCACTCAGCATTGCCACGGCAGCCCCCAGGTCTGATATATAAAAACACAAACACACAAAGAGCCGGTTTAGCCAGTTAACCAGATAAGTTTCAGTTTAGCTATGGTGTTTAGTTATGGTACACACAGGGACTGATTGTTTTGGTTTGGTCAACTCAAAACTAATCCTAGTATATCCTGAGTTTAATCAGCATCCATCATGGCTCTAACATTTAATTTGAATTTGAATTTAATTTTAGTTCATTTTATTTTACAACAAAGGGTCAGTGTGCAATAATTAACATTGCCCAAAAATGTAATGTAAATCTACCCAAATTAGCCACAGGCTAGTTTTCATTTGTGGTCTCTTTGCCAGATTTCACAGCCCTAATGCTGTGTTCACACCAGACGCAGAACGTGCGGATAAATCGCGATATTCGTGCGTAAATAGCCGCATGAACATTTGAGTTTACTCGCTTCTTTGCGCGTCAAATTCACTTCAGAACAGACGCGGATTCGCTTGATGAGCGGGGCTTTTGTCTGCCGGTGACTGTAGCTTCGTTGCTAAATGGCTAACATGGATTTTATGAAGAAAATAACAGTGTTTATGTGCTTTATGGAGGATGATAAACAGCGTCGATACGTTTAGGGCCGTGTCTGAGTCCACTAGATACTTTCAGAGGTGCATCCAGCTCTGTGAACTCATAAACTCCTCCAGGAACTTAACCTGGATGACGGAGGCTTTCAGCGGTGCTTCTGACTGAGCCGAGCCCAGTTTGAGGAACTATTGTCGGCTAGAGGATTTCCCCCAGGACACCAACAACAGATGCTACAGGACACAAAAAGAGCTGCTCCTGATTGGTTAACGCGGCAGGAATGTCCGCTTAATGTCAGGTTTTTGAACTCGAGCGATTCGCGCAAAACGAGCGTTAAGCCTGGTTTATACTTCTGCGTCAAGTGATCAGCTTGACCTAGCTGTGCCTTTGTACTTCTGCGCGCTTTTTCTGTTGTTATGTAATAACACTTCCGTTACAATATTTGGCAGTTAGGAGTATATTTTCCTCTGTGTCGAGTTTCTTGGCTGGTGTTTTGCTTTTCCTGAATACTTCCTGAATGTACAAGTGGCTCAAACTCGCTTATTTTGAGGCAGGAACCGGCGGACGTGCAACAACTTTAACTATGAGGTAAACGCAAAACAAAACTTTCCATCCGGAGCTCCTTCACGGGACTCCACACTTGTAAACAATTGCTCCATCGGGCTCGCGCAGCTATCGGTCCCGCCCAGACTTGTCAGCGCTACTAAGCTAACCAATCACAGAGCTTGTGCTACGCATCATTGCGACGTGTAGTTACATTTTTTGAGAGGTGCATGTCAGCGACGCCGACGGCCTGGGCATAGGGCTATGCGTCGTAGCATACGCGTGCGCTTGATGCAGAGGTATAAATCAGCCTTTAAGTGCGTCAATTCACGCCGCGCTGCACCATTTGTGCATATCGCGCCGCAGGATGTTTATTCGCGCGTTTGCATTGACTAAACATGTAAATCACTAGCGCATGACGCGTGTTCTGCATCTGGTGTGAACAGCATGAAAACCAACAAACATACTGTAGTATAGTTCGTTGTTGTGTGGGAAGAAGAAGACAGGGTCGGCGATATCAGGTAAGCAATATCTTTTATTTTGCTTTTCCACAGCACTAGCAAACTGTGTGCGTGGGTGTGTATGTGTGTGTGTGCTCTCTCCTCTCCCGACTGCTCCTCCCGTTCTCCTTAAGAAGGGAGTCTCTCCGGCCCAATCACTAGAAAGACAGGTGTTATTTATCATTTCTGATTGACCCGCTGATTAGCCGCCGGGCTCCTAGCATGCTCTCCCCCCTGATTGGGTGTTCGACCACGCTTACCTCTCCACATACCCCCACCGCCCGCCTCAGGCCGGGGAGCCGTCCGGCCTGCAGCCCTCCCCCCCCCCGCCCTCGAGAGGAAGTCGGCTACAGCCATTTGTACGCCCGGCCTGTGGATCACCTTGAACTTAAAAGGTTGTAAAGCTAGATACCAACGGGTGATCCGCGCATTGGTATCCTTCATGCGGTGAAGCCACTGGAGAGGAGCGTGATCTGAACAGAGGACGAATTCCCTACCCAGGAGGTAATAGCGGAGAGTGAGAACGGCCCACCTGATCGCCAGGCACTCCTTTTCTATGGTGCTGTACTTAGCCTCACTCTTGCTGAGTTTGCGGCTAATGTACAGCACCGGCCGTTCCACTCCCGCCACCTCCTGCGAGAGAACCGCCCCCAGTCCCCGATCGGATGCGTCCGTCTGTAAAACAAAGGGGAGAGCAAAGTCAGGAGCGTGCAATAGCGGCCCCCCACAAAGTATAGATTTTACCTTTGAGAAGGCCTGTTGGCACTGCTCCGACCATTGGACGGTATCCGGTCCCTCCTTTTTAGTGAGATCAGTCAATGAGCTGACAAGGGCCGAATAATTAGGGACAAAACGCCTATAATATCCTGCCAGCCCCAAAAACTGTCTCACCTCCTTTTTGGTCTTAGGTCTCGGACAGGTTGCAATGGCTGCAGTCTTATCAATTTGGGGCTGCACCTGCCCGTGACCTAAGTGGAAGCCCAGATACCTTACCTCCACTCGCCCAATTGCGCACTTCCGTGGGTTGGCCGTGAGCCCGGCCCGTCTCAGCGCCGACAATACCGCCCTCAAATGTTGCATATGCCGCTGCCAGTCATTACTGTAAATGATGATATCATCTAGATAAGCAGCGGCATATGCTGTGTGAGGGCCGAGTATTTTGTCCATCAGGCGCTGAAACGTCGCCGGTGCCCCGAACAGCCCGAACGGAAGCGTCACAAATTGGTGCAATCCAAACGGCGTAGTGAAGGCTGTTTTTTCGCGGGATATTGGAGATAAGGGGATCTGCCAATAGCCCTTCGTTAAATCCAATGTCGAGTAATATCGAGCAGCACCTAACCGGTCGAGCAACTCGTCAATACGCGGCATTGGATAAGCGTCAAATTTTGACACAGCATTCACCTTGCGATAATCCACACAGAACCGGACCGAGCCGTCCGTCTTAGGCACCAAGACAATCGGGCTGGCCCAGTCGCTGTGGGATTCTTCCACTACTCCCATTTTCAACATATTACTCAATTCTTCCTGAATCACTTTTTTCTTGTGTTCAGGTAGGCGATACGGCCGGGTCCTAACGACCACGCCCGGTTCGGTCTCGATATGGTGCTGAATCAGGTTAGTACGACCGGGCAGGGACGAAAACACGTCAGAGTATTCACGTTGGAGGTGCCGGATGTCGAGGAGCTGGCTCGCTGAGAGATGATCGCCCCCGGTGACCAGAGCGCTCGGCCGTTCACGGCCGGAGCTCTCCGGGCCCAGGTCATCCTCGTTAGTAACAAGCGTAGCCAGCGCCACGTCCTCCGGCTCCCTCCACTGCTTAAGCAGATTAATATGATAAATCTGACGCGAGTCAGCCCTGTCCGAACGAACCACCTCGTAATCGAGATCACTGACTCGTCGTGTGACCACAAACGGCCCTTGCCACTTGGCGAGTAATTTAGAGCTGGAAGTGGGTAGCAGTACAAGTACTTTATCTCCCTGTGAAAATTTACGGAGTTTAGTGCCCTTATCATATCGCCGGCGTTGGTCATCCTGAGCCTTAAGCAAATTCTCTGTAGAGAGCCGCCCCAGTGTGTGGAGTTTTGCTCTAAGGTCCAGGATATATTGAATTTCATTTTTACTTTTAGAAGGCTCGTCCTCCCAAGCCTCTCTAACAACATCCAAAACCCCTCTGGGCTGTCTGCCGTAGAGAAGCTCGAAGGGGGAAAACCCCGTGGAGGCTTGGGGAACCTCCCGCACAGCGAATAATAAGGGCTCCAACCACTTATCCCAATTTTTCGCGTCCTCGTGAACGAATTTACGGATCATTGATTTAAGCGTGCGATTAAATCTTTCCACCAGCCCGTCTGTTTGTGGGTGATAGACGCTGGTGCGAATAGATTTAATGCCCAATAATCCGTAAAGCTCGCGCATCGTGCGTGACATGAACGCGGTGCCTTGATCAGTGAGAATCTCCTTGGGGATTCCCACACGGGAGATGAGGCGAAACAGCGCCTCCGCAACGCTCTTTGCTGAGATATTACGGAGCGCGACTGCTTCCGGGTAGCGGGTTGCATAATCCACCAGAACTAATGCAAACCGATGCCCGCGTGCGGATCGCTCTAATGGCCCGATGAGATCCATACCAATTCTCTCGAAGGGGATCTCCATAATTGGTAAAGGGCGCAACGGCGCTTTTGGGGTGGCCGGCGGATTTACCAGCTGACATTCACTGCACGCAGCGCACCATCTGCTGACGTCACCGTGAATGCCCGGCCAAAAGAATCGGGTCATGAGGCGATTTAGTGTGGCCGCCTGACCTAAATGTCCGGCCATAGGATTAGAATGAGCCGCCTGAAAAAGCATTTCCCGGCGGCTCTTTGGTACTAATAACTGGGTTGTATCTTCTTTTGTCTGAGCGTCTTGGGTCACTCGATACACCCTATCATTAATAACCGCAAAATACGGATAGGAGAGGGGTCTATCAGGCTGGAGGATTTTCCCATCAATAACCTGCACTCTTTCGAGTGCATGTTTTAGCGTGTCATCACGCGACTGCTCCAGGGGAAAGTCTTTACACCGGGAAATTCCCAGCCCTTCCCCTGAGTCAGCGCGTGACGTCACCGCCTGGGATTCCCCCAGCTGAGCGACACGTCCCCTATCCGGCGATTTCTTCTTCCAAGAAGCACCCGCACATAAGACTCCCAGTAATCTATTAAATCCAGGCCAATTAGTTCCCAGAATTAGCGGGTGTTTGAGGTGCGAGTTAACTGCTACCTCTACTCTATGTTTTTTCCCCCGAAATTGAATGTCTATTGCCGTCAGCGGGTAGTGAATTACATCCCCGTGCACACACCTTACCCTTACCGTGCGGCTCATATCCAATGCCGGGTCTTGAAGCAGGCTTTGGTGGATGGAAGTCTGGTTACACCCCGAATCCACCAAAGCTTGATATGTACCCCCTTTTATACTCACTGGTACCCGGTATAGCCCGTTGCGACCGGGGGCGACGATTGGCGTGGCGGGGACGCGAATCAGCGCACTCGCCTCCTTCACGGAGCAGATTTTTGGTGCGCTATCCTCGTGCCCGCGACGCAAATGCATCGGCCCAGACCTTCCCACTATACCCCCGGGGCCAGCAGGAGCAACCGATTGAACCGGAGAGAATCCTGGCAGTGTCTGGGCAACCGCCAGGGGTCGTTGCTCCACCCCTCTGCCCGAATGAGGCCCCGCCCCTCTTGGGACGTTTGGCAGATCCGCCATTGCGCACCGCCGTCTGGGTGCAGGTGTGGGCGGTCTCCGCAGTCTGGGCCTGGGAACAGGAAGAGAGAGAGAGAGAGGGGGAGAAGAGAGAGAGGTTATTTCGCCAACCCTGGACCTCGCCACCAGGTGATCCTCCGCCAGTCGGATGGCCGTCTCCAGATCATCAGGCCGGTGGCACTGGACCCACTCCGATGTTCGGGAGGGGAGGCGGGTGATGAATTGCTCCAGCACCACGGCATCCACCAGTTGGGCGGTGGTTCGGCCATCCTGTATCAGCCATCTGCGGCAGGCGTCACGGAGCTGCTGGGCGAACGCAAAGGGCCGGCCGCCTTCAGCCAAAACCAGCGATCGGAAGAGCTGACGTTGCTCCTCCGGGTTGCGGCCGGCCCGCTGGAGAATAGCTCGCTTCAGATGAGCGTATTCCAGGAGATTCTGGGCCGGTAGCTGCTGTGCGGCGATCTGGGCTTCGCCCGAGAGCAGCGGGATGACTCGTACCGGCCACTCAGCCCGCGGCCAGCCACACGCCTCAGCCATCTTTTCAAAAAGATCCAGGAACACTTCCGGATCATCCTCCGGCACCATTTTCTGTAAGGTGATGGGAGGGTGGGCGGCAGATGTCGGAGCGGGCCGGATCCCCTGGGACAGCAGACTCCGGATTTGCTCGCGGTCCTCCCGCTGGGCCTCCATGAGGACTTGGAAATGTTGTTCCTGGATGTTCTTCAGTTCCACCAGCGTCTCATGTTGTTGTTGGTGGAGGACCGAGAGGGCCTGGATAGCTTCCGCAAATGGCATTCTTGACGGAGTGGTCATTCTGGCAGTGAGGCTCTTCTCCTTCCCCGGATTTCGGCACCACTGTAGTATAGTTCGTTGTTGTGTGGGAAGAAGAAGACAGGGTCGGCGATATCAGGTAAGCAATATCTTTTATTTTGCTTTTCCACAGCACTAGCAAACTGTGTGCGTGGGTGTGTATGTGTGTGTGTGCTCTCTCCTCTCCCGACTGCTCCTCCCGTTCTCCTTAAGAAGGGAGTCTCTCCGGCCCAATCACTAGAAAGACAGGTGTTATTTATCATTTCTGATTGACCCGCTGATTAGCCGCCGGGCTCCTAGCATGCTCTCCCCCCTGATTGGGTGTTCGACCACGCTTACCTCTCCACACATACAAATAAAAAGAAACTATGTTCACAATGTTGATTATTAAGAAGCCATTTCTTAAATCTATACTTAACCCTCGTGTACCGGTCAAATTGGCTACGCTTTCGTTATGTTGGCGGCTGTTTTTGCCCCATTGACTTCCATTATAAGCACGTTTCTTGATTGCAAAACCATGACCGCATTTAAAGGGCCATGACACCCCCCACTTTCGGTTAAAGTCTACTTCAGAATTTTTTCAAAAGATGCATGATTAATGGGCGTGGAGCTCCGCGAGCATCGGGCAGGAGTGGGCGTGGCCAGCAGGGGAGAAGGGGAGCGAATAACTGTTGATGTCAGTTAGCTCACAAACTGAGACAAACCGTGAGGAGACGCAAGAGTTTATAGTTTACAAAGTTAAAATGCAAAGAAATGAACAGTGATTTAATGCCCTGCTACATTTGTTATTTGTAATTTCATATACAGACAACAACAATTTATATCATTATAAAGATAAGTGTGTTCATAAACACTATAAATGAGGATTCTCCCTCAATCCCCATATCCAGCAGACTCAGTGCAGCAGGTCTCCTGACCTGTCTATTTTAACCATTAGTCCTGCTGGTAATCTGGAGGATTTAGGCAAACACAGCAGCACAGTGATGTGTCTGAATGTGAATGAATTCCTGATACAAGACAACATCCGCCATTCTCCAATTCGCGTGCTGCTCTCCCGACAAAAATGCTTGCAGCACACAAACAGCTTTGCTGTATAATCTGCCCTGACAGGATCGCGGGGAAAAACATGCAATAAACCCTGTGGATCATGAAAACAAACACATACGAGCCTTCATAAACGGCTACTGCGTGCCCGTGGGTCCGTGTCTCACAGCTTGAGCTTGGCACTGGTCTGGCAGGTCTGCGTCTGCCTTGCCTTGCCTTAGGAAAGCGCGTGCTGTCGTGCTCTCATGAATAATTAAGCAGCCGGCTCTTCTCATAGGATAAGAAAACTCCGCTATGAATAATAATGAGAAACCGACGCGTCATCATTGCACTTGCAGTTCTGCGCTACGTCGCCGATTTTGATCCGCCCCAAAAATCATTTTAAACCCCGAAGCTGAAATTAGCTGACAAAAGCTCAAAATTATCCAGTTTTCCCCACAATTAAAGCTGACAGCTGCTAACATTGTCTTAACTGATGCTCAACACACACAAATCTGTTAATATATATAAAAAAAAAAAAGTTCTCCAGGGTGTCCTGAACCTTTAATCATGCTTTTTTGATTGTTGCTGGTTTTCCCAGTTGGGATAAGGTCAATTGTGTCATTTTTACTGGTGATCATCAGTTGGCAACATTAACCCTTTAGATAAGCCTGTGCAAAAACAGTTTCTGGCTTTTATACGGAGTTCCCGGGGGTAAAAATAGGAGATTATAGTGTGTGTGCAGAAATACACTTACTGTGTTCTGAGAGCTGAGCTGATTATTTAGATTTTCTCAAACATGTCAAGATAAGTGTGTAAAGGTCTCTTTTTCTCTTTCTCTCTCTCACACTCCATATAAAAGCCAGAAGCTAAGCTTTATTTGAACTGTAACTGATGATCAACAGTAAAAATCACAAATCTTACCTCTTCTCAACTGGGAAAACCAGCAACAATTAAGAAGGCATGATTATATGCTGCCAAAGCTTTGTAATCTGAAATATGTGGTTATGTCGGTGCAACAGCCTGGTGGTTAGCGCGCCGACATATGGTGCAGTAGCACGTCAGGGCGTCCCAAGTTTGAATCCTGGCTTGAGGACATTTCCCAACCCTACTGCCGCTCTCTCTACAATTTTGCATCCTGTCTCATTACTGTCCTATCTAATAAAAAAATATTTTTTTCCCCTCTCCGCTGTCGCCACTGGCTTGCATGGTTCAGGATCTGGAAAGCTACTCATCGATGAATTTGCTCTTCAGTGTTTGGACTCTCAGTAACGACTTCAAACCACACTGAACTGAGCTAAACTGAACTGAACTTAAACACTAAAACTGAACTACCCTGATCCAGTTACTATGACCATTTATGTGAAGCTGCTTTGACACAATCTACATTGTAAAAGCGCTATACAAATAAAGCTGAAATGAATTGAATTGAATTAATAAAGGCAAAAAGGCCAAAAATAAATTTAAAAAAAGGAAAAAAAAAATATGTGGTTATACTTACAGTCAATGGGGCAAAAACAGCCCCCACCATAATGAAAGAGTAGTCAATTTGCCCAGAGTGCGTTGTTGAATTTTAGAAAAATTGTGAAAAAAAAGAAAAAAGCTTAAACTTTAGAAACATATTTTAAAACTTTAGAAAAAAAAGTGTCAAAATATGATTTATTACACAAAATCATTGCATCTGCTGAAACACTGAGAAATCTGTGGCCAAATTAAGACTCAAAATCACCCCAGAGCGGATGAAAGCACCCCCAACAGCACATAAAGATGATCAGTGTGTGCGGTCTGACCTGAGTCTGATCCTCCCATTCCCTTCAGCACGGCTCGTCTGCCGGTGCTCTCGATCAGAGTCTGGACCTGAAGAGACGTCAGAGCCGTTTCCACCAAAACCTCCTCCTTAGACAGGTTTACCTGCACTGACTGCACTCCTGAAACACACACACGCACACACTCGTGTGAATTTATTTTCTATTTGCAATATTTCCCCAATGATGTTTAACAGAGTCAGGAATTTTTACAGGATTTCCTATAATTTTTTTTTGTCTGGAGATTTTTATTTTAGCTAGACAGGGTTCAACGCTAAGGATTTTATACGGGTCCGATCGGGCCATTGGTTGAGATTTTTACTTGCCCTGCCAAAATTTTCATTGGCCCCACCAAAAAAAAACTAAAAAGTTAATAGCTATTTCTTGGCCACATATTTTAAATAATGGCAAAATTATGCCTGTGAATCTAGAATTTAAACATTTTAAATATGTTAATAAATGTATAATGAGCAAAATTCAAGACTTTATGCAAATGAAAGAGCAGTATGAAAAATGTGCAGGTATTTTAATGCAATTCTAAATCATTTTTATACAAATGGCTTGCCAAACTGACAACTGTTTTTTTTTTTGTTCTTTCTTTTCAGTTCCTTGATTTTGTACCAATGTAATTGTCTGCTTCTAAGACTTTAGAAACAGACGTTTTCTTTTAGCCTCATTGTTTAATTTTGCCGCCATGCTGCCATCTTCGCTGTACTGGTTGTTACTGGGTTACAAAAAAAAAAAAAAAAACGCGTTCATCGTTACTGGCCGATAGGGGCCAGTAACAATCCTGTCTACTGTCCCGAGTGTCTTTCACGCTGGCCCCGGGTCACCGGGCAGTCCTTATTGTTGAGCCCTGCTCGAATAAAAGCAGTTCTTAATTTTTAAAAACCATTTTAAAGTCAAAATTATTACCCTTTAAGCTATATTTGTTTCGATTGTCTACAGAACAAACCATCATTATACAATAACTTGCCTAATTACCCTGACTTTACCCTAATTACCCTAGTTAAGCCTTTAAATGTCACTTTAAGCTGAATACTAGTGTCTTGAAAAATATCTAGTCAAATATTATTTACTGTCATCATGGTAAAGATAAAATAAATCAGTTATTAGAAATGAGTTATTAAAACTATTATGTTTAGAAATGTGTTGAAAGAAATATCTCTGTTAAACAGAAATTAGGGGAAAAACAAAGAGAGGGGGAATAATTCTGACTTCAACTGTGTGTATAAAGAAGCATATGAAAGAGAGAACAGATCCTTGGCACAGAAGAGTGTCTGATTCCGGGTTTCACTCACCTGGATCTTTCTCCAGGACGGCTTTTACTGCATTAACACAGCTGTCACATGACATCTGCACCGCAAACTCAAGCTGCACAAACAAACAGGAATAAGAGAGAGTGTGTATTTACATTACTGCCGGGCAAAGATTAATCACATCCTAAATTAACCTTGTTGTGACTTAATAGATGTGTATTATATTTGCACACTCGTTTATTATATTCACACATACATAAAAACAAAACTATTTTGTTGCATACGATATTTAAATGTATCCCTCATTTGAATCATCTACACATTTTACATCTAAATAAATAAACATTTTCTTAAATATATGCATGTATGTGTGTATTTATAACAGAACGCACACATACATGATGTCACAACAAACTTTTATTTTGGATAGCGATTAAAAAAATCTAATTTAAATATTTATTAGACACATTTATTTCATAATCGTTTAATTTATTTTCAATGTGATGCTATATTTTTCATAATCACTAATTATAGTCTTTCTCTCTCTCTGTGCACATTTTTTTTTGCAGGTTGCAGAATAAATTAAAATTATGCTTCAATCAAACATTTAACTAGAAATATTAAATCCAGAGGGGCGACACGGTAGAGGTTAGCACTGTTGCTGGTTCGAGTCCCGGCTGGGTCAGTTGGCATTACTGTGTGGAGTTTGCATGTTCTCCCCGTGTTGACGTGGGTTTCCTTCTGGTGCTCCGGTTTCCCCCATAGTCCAAACACATGCGCTATAAGGGAATTTAGGAGTGTGTATGTGTGTTTCCCAGTACTGTGTTGCAGCTGGGCATCCTCTGTGTAAAACATATGCCGAAAGAGTTGGTGGTTCATTCTGCTGTGGCGACCACTGATAAATAAAGGGACTGAGCCAAAGGAAAATAAATGAATGAATAAATCCAGAGAATGGTCAAATAATGTGTGTGTCTGTATAATAAATATCAATATTTTACTTAAACCCAATACAAGTAAATCCAAGGAAACTGACAGTTTACTGTTATTTTCACAGTTTAACGTTAAATGTTCAGGTCTGACATTACATTACCATCCACAGTACAGACATACATATTATTAAACAGGATAAAAGTTTCCTTAAGCTGACAAACAGCAAGACTAGAACAACAAGCAAAAGCTTTATAAATGTGTCAGTCCTGGATTAACTTGTTAAAGAAATTATGTTGATAATTATGATGATGATGTAATTAACTAAATGAACGGGAGCTGTAGGAATGACGTTATTAGAGCTAACCTTATTGAACGAGTGATTCAAATGTAGCACACCCTCATATATAACCTGTCTAATCAAAACCTAGACTAATAGCGATTACAGCACTTAATATTAAAATAATGATGATTAAAGTCACACCTTCGCTGCTCTGTTTGTGTCCATCTCCAGATCGCACGTTGATAGTGACGTACGCGCAAGTTCCGCGTTAAGACAAAACAAGAGTCCCATTCAGGTGGAAAGTCGTCTTTTTTAAAATAAGGGTCCCGATTCCGGGGTAAAAAAAACGTAGCGGACAAATAATGTATGTTTATCAAACATTAAATAACCTAAATATCAACAAACCAACAAATATATCATTACCAAAAACCGGAGATCTTGAAAGTCTGACGACAAGCTGAAGTGTGGAGTGACGTCATCAAAATCGTTGATCCATATCAAAGTGTGAAACCGCATTAATTGTAATATTTTTAGTATTTTTTTTGTTATTATTTATTATTTTTTTACTTTGTTTGACTTATTATGTACTTATATATAACTATTCTATAATTCTAAATCTTTTTATGTTCCAGTGTATGTTTTTTTGATGTACCAAAAACATTTCCTGAAGATTTACATCAATTATCCTTTACATCATATACATCCAATATACATCAATTACATATTATTTCATTAGAAAAAATAGGAATCTGTTAAAGCTTTAACAACTAGCCTATTGTCATTTAAATTTAATTTATTTAAATAGCAACAGTCTCAGTCACGCTGCCGCAGCAGGTCAACACAGGATTCGGCTTGGTGTTAAAGCCTTCGTCAAGGGATTGTTTTCATAATTTTATTATGGCATAGGAGTTAAAGTGGGACAAATGAGCTCATGTATGGGACAAATTCTGGACCTTGGTCAGTGAGAGATGGGTCTTTTTAAACCTGTTATATATCCAGTACCTCTGTTATATATGCTCTTCATATCTTTGCAGCTCTGGCATTATTCTGTATGTCATTAAGTTTAACATTTTTAAATCTTCTCATCTGAAATTTTATCATTGTTTTTCAGCACACTAGCTTAAAGATAACACCATCAAGACTAGCATATTGATATCCCTACAGAAAAATCCAGCTTAAACCAGCCCAGGCTGGTTGGCTGGTTTTAGCTGGTCTCCCAGCCTTGTTTTAGAGGGGTTTTGGCCATTTCCAGACTGGTTTCCAGCCATTTTCAACCTGGTCTTAGCTGGTCAGGCTGGGAGATGACCAGCTAAAACAAGCTTGACCAGCCTAGCCAGGCTGGGAGTCCAGCCAAAACCAGCTATATCCAGCTTAAACCAGGCTGGTCAAGCTGGTTTTAGCTGGATTTTGCTGGTCATTTTCCAGCCTGAAAACGAGTCTGGAAAATGGCTGGAAACCAGTCTGGAAATGACAAAAACCACTCTAAAACCTCTGGTCAACCAGCTAAAACCAGCCAACTAGCCTAGGCCGGTTTAAACTGGATTTTTCAGCAGGGATACGAACAAATAAAAATGGATGCTTTGATTTCAGGTGGGCTTTAAATCGGTGAGCTGATATAGCTATGATTAAGAGTGTGCGTTCCACATTAAAACACTGTAGTTATTTTATTTTACCTGACAAAAGTCTTGTCATTGATCTCAGTTGTAAGAGCAGCAAATAAAAACTTGATTTTTAGTTTATCATTTGTAAAAGTGGCAGCAGGTCGATTTTTGAACTGCTTCCCAATCATCACAAATACTGCAGAAGACCTACTGGAACCTGCAAGGACCCAATATTCTCACAGACATCAGTCAAGTTTGCTGAAGGAGAAATCTATGGATGGCAACATCAACAGCCCGAGGTATCGAGACATTAGTGCTGCCCATCACATTACAAACCACAGGAGAGGGCCAATTCTCCAGCAGGATAGAGCTCCTCCTCATACTTCAGCCTCCTCATCAAAGATCCTGAATGCAGAGAAGGTCAACGTGCTCCAGGATTGGCCAGCACAATCACCAGACATGAACATTATTGAGCATGTCTGGGGTAAGAAGAAGCAGGAGTCAATGAAGATGAATCCAGAGAATCTTGATGAACTCTGGGAGTCCTGCTGTCTTTGCCAAATCCAGATGACTTTATTAATCAGTGATTTGAGTCATGTCAGAGATGTATGGATGCAGTCCTCCAAGCTCATGATGGAGTCAGACACAATATTCATTCGGTTTCCACTGCAGCAGGACTTTATATTCTATACTGGACATTATTTCTGTTCAGTGACGAGACTTTTGTCTAAGCAAAATCAGACCTTACTGTCCTCATTAAATCATTAATAATCAAGGCATGATCATACTTTATTTTTGGTCAAATAAATGTAATCTAGAGTGTTTTTTTAACTGTACTGTACTAAATTGCTTGGAAATATATATTGGGTTAATTCTATGGTAAATATGTGGCGACAATAGTGTAATAAAAGGACTAAGCCAAAAATAAATATGAATGAATGAATGACACCAGGTTTTCAAAACCTATATATTATACCACAATACACCACAATTTACTGTAGTAAAAACTAAAGTATACGACAGTATTAATTGCAGTTTATCAGTTCACTATGGTAAGTTCCACAGTGCGCTGGAGCATTCATAACCAAAGAGTTGTAAATACTACAATATAATACAGCTTACTACCCAGGTAGCAAAGAATAGTGGCCCAGATTTGGCATAAAGCTGGCACAGCAGGCATTCATCCGGCACTGGCATACAGCATGTGTGCCAAACATGGCCCTGGTTTTATGGCGGCACAGAAAACTTGGGCCAGATGTAAGGTGTAGCATTTCGCCCAGATGTTAATAATGGATATGTGGGCCATATAAGTTTGGCCTATCTTGACCCACGTTTAAAATATATTTAAATTATTTTCAAATGAAGATATAACATTCAATCAGGTGGCTTCGAGAAAAAGCACACCCATAGCATGTCTAAAGCGCAATGATTCATGGGTTTATCAAATTTCTTTGCAGTGAAACACCAACAAAGCTGGCCCATTTCTGACTCAGTTATGGGTTATTAACTTGGCTGGAACCCAGACTTGGTCCAATCAAGAACCGTAATTCACTGTGGCATGTGGGCCAAGCAAAAGCTAATTGTGTGGGCCAGATCTGAGCTAGAGATATTTTGCTAAATGGGTACTTCCCCCTGCATGGCGAAGCACAGAATTTTTGTCAGTCAACCACTGACTCGCCCTTCGCCGAAAACTCTAGATCCTCGATATTTAGCATCACAAAGGCCTTTGGACTGAACTAATTAAATATGGATTTGATGTGATAAAATTTGTAGAAGATTGTTGCACTGTAAAACATGTCATTTCCTGTTGCCAGCAGGTGGCGTTACAACTGTAGCTAGATATTGCCATGTAAACGTGTTCAGGTCAGGACTCTTATCAAACGTGTGAATTTTTAGGCAGATCGAACAAAGCATGCCTGAGTTTTAGCAACTTCCTGTTTTGTGGCGAATCATCAAAGTTTGTGAGGCCGCCACAAACACGCCCTTCAACAAAAACTCTAGATCTTCGCATTTTAGCATCACAAAGGCCTTTGGACTAAACTGATGGAAAATGGATTCGATGTGATGAAATTTGCAGGAGGAGTTTGTTACACTGTAAAACAAGTCGTTTCCTGTTGCCAGCAGGTGGCGCTATAACTGTAACTGAATGTAGGCTTGTAAACGTGTTCAGGTCAGGACTCTTATCAAAAAACAGTTAAAAGTTTAAAAGGCCACCACAGACACGCCCTTCAACAAAAACTCTAGATCTTCGTAATTTATCATCACCAAGGTGTTTATCTAATCGACAATACCAAATTTTGGTGTTGATCGGATAAAATCCCTAGGAGAAGTTCGTTAAAATACATTCCTTGGAACTGGCCAAAACGGCACTTTCTCAGCACAGGAAGTTAAAAATATGCGACTTCCTGTTAGGTTTGAGATCTCGCACCAAGTTTTGTTTTGTAGGTTTTGGCATGTTTGACGTGTGTGCTAATTTTTGTACATGTGCGTGAATCGTAGCTCGGGGGCCAGTTCGTCAAACCTGCATAGGTGGCGCTGTCGAGTCATTTTGCCACGCCCACTTCTGAAACCTATAACAAACCTACATTTTTGCTACATCTGGGGTGTGTGCAAAGTTTCGTGAGTTTTCGGGCATATTTAGACCCTCAAAATCGCGATTCATTCTGCGAAGAAGGAGAAAAAGAAGAAACGGAGCAATTCCAATAGGGCCTACACACCATTACAGTGCTCTGTCCCTAATTACTAATGTATTGTACTTGTAACAATGTACTTGCACAGTAAAAAATGTTCGGTTAATTTGCTGAGCTTCCCACATAGCAAAATATCTCTGGCCCAGCTCTGGCCCACACAACCAGCTTTTGCTTGGCCCACATGCCGCGGGCCAAACATGGACCATTTCTGCGCCAAGTCTCAGCAAATCTAATATCCCATAACTGGGCCTGAACTGGGCCAGATATGTTGGTGTGTCACGACTGCAAGAAAATGAAGAAACCCATGAAGCATTGCCCTGTCATAATTTCAGTGGTGGGGAAAAGGAGCGAGGACTCGATTGCAGAGAAAATTGTTTTTTATTAATGATAAAATAAAAGGCAAAACAAACTATCCCGAGGGGGAAAACATTAGCAAAACAAATAAACAAACAAACAAACTTGACTGGGCAGGCTGGCAGGGATCAGGGCTGGAACACACAACAGGACAAGGCAGGATACAACGACGAACTGGCACAGGACAGCAGACATGAGGAGAATATAAGCAGAAATAATGAACACACAAACAGATGAACATAATAAACTAATAATGGGTTAACAAGGAGGGTGGGACTAGACAACAGACAGGAGAGCACATGACACAAGAAAACACCACATGCTCACATAAAACGGGACAAGAACATGCAGCCAATGAATGAACTCGTTAACCATGTGTTCAGGCACGTGCACACATAGGGCTCAACCTGTGCAGTGCACATGCCCTTTTTAGTCTTGGATAGAAAGTGCCCTTCCAAAATGATCAAAAGTGGCCCCGCGACGCGGCACACCCTCGGTCCCGCTCTTCAGTAGGCGCGTGACAACACCGCTCTTGAGTACGCACGCGACAACACAGCTAATCAGAACGCGCGCAACAGCCCCCCCCCCCCCCCTTCAAAAATTGTATCCTGCACATGCCCTTCTGACGGTCTCTGCACGGGCCTGCAGGTGTTCACGAAGCACACCGCTTAAGCACGTGGCCCAAGTGTAAACACAGACACATGCTTAGACAACACCAACATACACAGATGCAAGATCTGAGCATACGATAAATGAAAACACCTTACCAGGCGCTCACACATGCAATGCGCATGTTTCATCACAGCGCCAACCGAAACCAACTAGACTGAGATGCTACAAATGAAACAGCGTGATGCTGACAGAACAAACACGAGCACAAGAGCACATCCCAAACACACCCAGACCTCGTGCGCCCGCATCATGCGGGAGTGTGAGCGACCTGAGCAGGGGTGGACTGGGACAAAAATTCAGCCCTGGCACTGTTGCCACACCAGCCCACATTACCACACCGACACAGCCCCACCCACGGACACGCACATTCACTATTTATTTTGGTGTAAAGATGGTGAAATAATATGACATTCTTGCCAGATTTTGATTATCTCCGGGTAACCTTGGATTGGGTCGGCCCATCTTGAAACCAGGCGGCAGTTGCCAATTGGGCCAAATGCTTAACATTTATTATTACTATTTTTATTATCATCATCATAATATCACATCTAGCAAGAGATTAAAGCTGTCTGCACTTAAAAACAATACATATTAAAAAAAACTGACCGGCCCACATTTAAAAATTGGTCCGGCCCTTTTGGCATTTGCCAGAGTTGCCAGATGGCCAGTGCGCCCCTGGACCTGAGGAAACTCGAGCCGAGCACAACATACAGGACAAGACAGAACTAGTGTCTGGGCTCTGCCACCAAAACAAGAATTTACAAGACCGGAGCGGCAGAACCCTGACATGCCTTTTAGGTGGGTGTGCTCAAACCTGATTGGTTGATTTGTTTTTCTTTATTCAAAAATAATAAAAATGTTTTTCAAATGTAGGTCAAAATCTACAAAATCTACAGCTCTGCTGCTGGACTACTGTAACTCTTTGTATTCTGGAGTTTCACAGGCATCAATAGCACGCCTGCAGCTGGTTCAAAATGCAGCTGCTAGGCTTTTAACTGGGACAAAAAAATTCTCTAGTATCTCACCAGTTTTATTGTCTCTTCACTGGCTCCCAGTCCAATTTAGAATTCAATATAAGTTATTGCTTCTAGTTTTTAAAAGTTTGAATGGTCTGGCACCGACTTACATTTCTGAGCTTCTTCACTGGCACACTTCATTGAGGCCAATCAGGTCTGAAAACACATTTCAGCTAGTTGTCCCCAAAACGCGGTTGAAATCTAGAGGTGACAGGGCTTTTTCTGCTGCAGCCCCCCGACTGTGGAATGGTCTGCCTTTACAGATCCGGTCATGTTCTTCACTTGGTGCTTTTAAGTCTCATCTAAAAAATCACCTTCTGTCTCTTGCCTTTGATTGTAATTAATTTTAATCTGTTTTATATATTTTGCAAATTTTTTATATATAGGTATAGATTTTGTATGCTGGTCGTTTTGTAAAGCACTTTGGTCAACATCTGTTGTTTTTAAATGTGCTCTATAAATAAAGCAAACAAACAAACAAACAAACAAAATAGGCCAAATTGACATGGCCACATATCCATTAGCATCTGGGCCAAATACTACATTTAATATCTGGCCCAAGTATTGTGTGTTGCCTTAAGGACGGTGCCACCTCTACTAAACCAGGGGCATGTTTAGCCCACATGCTGTATTCCAGGGCCGGATGAATGCCTCCTGTGCCAGCTTTATGCCAAATCTGGAATTTAAGTGGATTGAACATAACACAATTAAGTTGTCCCAAAAAACTCAATTATTTTATTAGTTCAGCTCATTTTAAATAACACCAAACTTAATCGTTTGAGTGAGTTTAATGTGATATAAAACAACTCTATATTTGTCTTTTCTTAATTTATTGAAAATGATTTAGAACCATAATAAGATGTACATAGTCAGACTGATATGATGTTCATATAATACAGTATTCACAGTGATGTCAGATCTACGAGGCCGGCGTCTGCTGCTCTGCTGCTTCAGCAAGGTGTTCTGGGAAACTGAGTCTTTTCTCCTGAGCGTAGGCTCTCCAGTGGCTGTCGTCGGACTCGTGCGTGAGATATCGATAACCCATACGCAGCTCAAACTCTCGCAGGTCACACCACAGCTGGAAGTTCTGCATTAAACAACATACACATCAATGATATACAGTTGAAGTCAGAAATATTCGCCCTCCTGTATATTGTTTTCCCCCCATTTCTGTTTAACGGAGAGAACATCTGTTCAACACATTTCTAAACCTAATAGTTTTAATAACTTTTTTCTAATTACTGATTTATTTTATCTTTGCCATGATGACAGTAAATAATATTTGACTTGATATTCTTCAAGATACCAGTATTCAGTTTAATATGACATTTTGAAGGTTTAACTACATTGTAAAAAAAAAATCAGTTGCAGTGCCGAAAAAACCCTGTAAAACAATGGCTGTTAAATTACAGACATTTACCGTACATTAACAGCCGGTAAATTTATTTTATGGTAAATGTCTATAATTTACCGTCTGTTATTTTCTGGTAAATGTCTGTAATTTAACGGCCTTTATTTTACAGGAATTGTCTGTAATTTACAGGCCCTTGTTTTACGGTAAATGTCTGTAATTTACTGGCTGTTATTTTACAGTCAATGTTTTTATTTTAACGGCCGTTATTTTACGGTAAATTTCTGTAATTTACCGGCTGTTATTTACAGTAAATGTCTGTAATTTACCGGACGTTATTTTACGATAAATGTCTGTAGTTTAACGGCCTTTATTTTACGGTAAATGTCTGTAATTTAACGGCTGTTATTTACGGTAAATGTCTGTAATTTACCGGCTGTTGTTTACGGTAAATGTCTGTAATTTACCAGTCGTTATTTACGGTAAATGTCTGTAATTTACCGCCCGTTATTTTACTGTAAATGTTTTTATTTTAACGGAGGTTATTTTACGGTAAATTTCTGTAATTTATCGGCCGTTATTTATGGTAAATGTCTGTAATTTACCGGCCGTTATTTTACGGTGAATGTTTTTTATTTTAACGGACGTTATTTTACGATAAATGTCTGTAGTTTAACGGCCGTTATTTTACGGTAAATGTCTATAATTTACAGGCCGGTATTTTACAGTAAATGTCTGTAATTTACTGGTTGTTATTGTATGGTAAATGTCTATAATTTACCAGCCAGTATTTTAATGTAAATGTATAAAATATACCAGCCATTATTTTACGGTAAATGTCTGTAATTTACCAGCCTTTATATTACAGTTAATGTCTTTAATTTACCGGCCGTTATTTTACGGTAAATGTCTGTAATTTACCAGCCTTTATATTACAGTTAATGTCTGTAATTTACCGGCCGTTATTTTATGGTAAATGTCTGTAATTTACAGGTTGTTATTGTGTGGTTAATGTCTATAATTTACCAGCCATTATTTTAATGTAAATTTAAAAAATTTACCAGCCATTATTTTACGCTAAATGTCTGTAATTTACCAGCGATTATTTTACAGTAAATGTTTGTAATTTACCAGCCGTTATTTTATGGTAAATGTCTGTAATTTATCGGCCGTTATTTTACGATAAATGTCTGTAATTTACCCACTGTTATTTTACAGTAAATGTCAATAATTTACCAGCTGTTATTTTATGGTAAATGTCTGTAATTTAACGGTTGTTATTTTTATGGTAAATGTCTAATTTACCGGCCGTTATTTTACGATTTAAATATCTGTAATTTAATGGCCGTTATTTTTATGCTAAATGTCTGTCATTTACCAGCCATTATTTTACAGTAAATGTCTGTAATTTACTGTCCGTTATTTTATGGTAAATGTCTGTAATTTACAAGCCGTTATTTTATGGTAAATGTCTGTAATTGTAATGCCACCCAAATTTTTTTATCAATAAAACTTTCCTTTTTTAGAGTCATGTTATTGCAGTAACTAATGACTGGACCCAACACTGGTAATGATATTTGCATGTCAATGAAGTATGGAATGGTTTGGGAATGATATTAGAAGGACTTGGACTGACCTGAAACCACGGATGACCCATTGCTTTGCCGACACTGAACCTACGTCTGACCACCACCTGCAGCAGGTTATTGATCAGGTTCACCGCTGAGAGAAAAATCATAGAAGTTAAACAACAGAAGAAAGAAAGTGTTTCTTCATTTATAACACATTAAAGATCTCGTGAAATGCTCTGAAATATGCACTTTGTATTTGATGTTTGATGTAGTTGAGAGGTTGGGAAATTTTTTGCTCCTCCCCTTTTTAAAAAACGCCAAATAGTGTTTAGTTTTATCAGCGCTCTGCCAGTGAGAGTGGTTGAGCTCAAGCACATCAAATGAAAAGCAAATGAGAGGCGTCTTGAAGAGGGCGTGGCATGTAAGATACAAGTTAGCATTTCAATTGGTTATGATTTATTGTGATGATCCATTTAGGCGGAAGTGACGAACTACAAGCTTTACATGTTTATATCAGTTTTATATCTTCTAAACGTGAATTGTGCCACTGTTTTGGTGAGCACTAGCTTATAGATATCTTAAAAACTAACAATACTGATCCGAACATCTAAAAACTTGATTTTAATTTCACGGGACCATTTGTCCTTCAGGTCAACACTTCACTAAACCTCTAAATCAGGGGTCACCAAACTTGTTTCTGGAGGGCCGTTGTCCTGCAGACTTTAGCTCCAACTGTAATCAAACACACCTGAACAAGCTAATTAAGGTCTTACTAGGTATACTTGAAACATCCAGGCAGGTGTGTGGAGGAGGTTGGAGGAAACCCTGCAGGGACGCCGACCCTTCAGGACCAAGATTGGTGACCCTTGCTCTAAAATAAAGCCGCAAAATTTAAATTTCAATCCTCAAATCTGTTTTGCATGAAGAAACAACCTCATCCTTATCACAAACTGGCCTCCCCTTCCCACCTGCACCGATAATCACTTAGCTGAAAAATCAAACACACATTATTGTGAATAATAAGCACAAAGTCATTGTAAATGTGCACGGTTTTCACAGTTCCCTTTACTTTGATGTACCATACATCTCAGCACAAATAAAAAGCCATTGATAACAGGGAACAATTCATTGTTAATCATAAGTAAAATTAAACAAATACAGACAGATGTGCTGTCTAGTTTCTGTAATATTCAAGAATCTGGGATGAGCAAGCAAAATCAGTGCTGTACAGTATTCACTGAATTAAATAACATTTTGAAGCGACGCTTAAAGAAGCAACACATCATCATTCAACTCTTCTGTTCTTGCATATTTTCCTCATGTCCTTCCCTCAAATCCTGAAGAGACGAGGAAAAGAAAGCGAGGACTATCAAGGACTATCAGAACAATCCAGAGGTTGTAATGTAATGTAATGTAATGTGTATTTATATAGCTCATTTATTGTGTATGGCCATACACCCAAAGCGCTTCACAATCATGGTTCTCTCTCCACACCACCACCAGTGTGCAGCATACTCTTGGATAATGCGACGGCTGCCACAGGACAACGGCGCCAGTGCGCTCACCACACACCAGCTATTGGTGGAGAGGAGAGACAGTGATCGAGCCAATTCGGTGAAAGGGGATGATTGGGAGGCCATGATCGTAAGGGCTGATAGAGGGACTTTGGCCAGGACACCGGGGTTACACCCCTGCTCTTTCACGAGAAGTGCCATGGGATTTTTAATGACCACAGAGAGTCAGGACCTCGGTTTAACGTCTCATCCGAAAGACGGCGCCCACTGATAGTGTAGTGTCCCCTTCACTTTTTACGTCTGTCGCTTTAGAGGTCAGAGGAGTGAGATTTACCTGCACAGCACTTACTAGCTGGCCTCCATTACATTCACCACCCTAAACCTCACTCCCATCTGGGTCACGACACCAATGTAACCCCGCCAGTCCTACACCACCCAACCTGCTCCGAGCTGGTATCGAACCGTTGACCTTCTGCATGGGAGTCAGTTGCTCTAACAAGGAGGCTAAAGACCATGGCCTCTAGCGTCTGTCGCTAGAGCACCTTTAGAGGTCAGAGGAGCGAGGTTTACCTGCACAGCACTTACTAGCTGGCTTTCATTACAATCAGTTAGATGAAGTGCAGTACACAAGTCCAAAGAACTGATCACCAAACAATCCAGAAGTAACACCTCTACAGTGCATGTGTGTTGAAGTGTGTATCCAGTGTGATCCAGTGTGTTTGGGGTGTAAAAATTATTTTCTAGCTGGCGGATCAAAACTGACCTGAAGGACAAATATTGTACCCTAAATAGAAAATAAGGGATGTTTTTTCTAATGTTTGGGTCAACCATTGATGTTGCGTCCAAATTCACATACTATCCGTCCTAAATAGTATCTGAAAGTAGAATTAGTATGTCCCAAATCGTAGTATGTAGTAAATCGTAGTATCTATGATTAATATCTAGGCCACTGGAAATCTTTTAGAAAATTGCTGCCGTTTCATCATCCAGGTGGATGCTGCACACTGGTGGTGGATGAGGAGATTCCCCCCAATGTGTAAAAGCGCTTTGAGTGCCCAGAAAAGCGCTATATAAATGCAAGGAATTATTATTATTATTATTTAAATCGTGTTATATTTCATCTGCAACAACAACGTGGACTTATATAAAGGCGTGTTTGGACATTTACGTATCAATGCAGAACTATCCAAAGACCTGAGGAGATTTCTCTGCATGAAAGACTGGTGAATGGCAGATTATCCTGCTTCTGCATCTCCAATAAGGTAGGACATTAAATATGAAAGAAATGTTGATGATGTGTGGATGATTGACAGGACTTGTAATTAAGCAACATAACGATTTGTTTATGAGTAAGTAGTATGTCCCAAAGCTT